TCACACCTCACAACCTGTCCCATCTTCCTTCATCTCCAGTTTCTTTTGAAATCAGTCACGCGCCCATCAAATCGAAGATGCAAATGTCGATCGGAGTTTCTTCATATAATGGCTTAGCTCCAGATTGCTATAATCTCATCTTCTCAAGCACTAACCACCACTCAAAACGGAGTTCGATTCTTTTCGTTGGAAAAGTGGAAGAACTACTGCACCAAATGCAGTTTAAAAGACCATTTGAGAACCCACAATAAAAGGTGACGTAAAAAAGGCAATCCCGACCTACCGATAGTACACTCCTGTTTGACGCAGCAGGTCATTCGCATGAGAGGACTACTAGTAAAACACAGCAGAAATGGGACCTCACGCAGTTGGTGAGCCGTTGGAAGTACTGACCCGCCCTTTCTGGCATCCTCGATTTTATACTTTTTCTTATAGCTTCTCAGTCCTGGGCAGTCCTTTCAAAGGCGCACGCTATTTTGAGGAGATTTACCTGGCGAGGATGTGTGTTCCGTAACATTCGCCTGGAAAGAACCCACTGCGACAAAGGCCCACATACGAATTGATTAGGTCTCCAGAAAGGAAATTCTGCTTCCCTTGAGGCTCACTTCTTCGTGATACGTTTTATGCTCTAAGGCACTGATTTTTGTTAGCACAGTTCTAGTTCTGGATGGCAACTGTTTTAAAGTACAATAAATGATCACGGCAAGCTTTCATCAGCAGAAGAGCAGCGCTCTTGTCCACGGTGTGGGCAGGTGAGATGGTGCAGCGGCTGAGCCTTAGGGCGCCTTCAAGTAATCAAACATTACCGTGCCAAAGCGAAAATTGGAAATGACCCACACAGATAGATACGATCAAAAGGTGCAGCACATCATCACGATAGGTAACTTTTCATAAAGTACGACTCTCTCCCCTCCCACTCTTTCGCCGCGATCATTCTCCATCACGGAGAGTGGATTAAGGATTTGCATCTAGACGACAAGGTGCTGATTAACTCGGTAGTGAAGAAAAAAGCAGAAAAAAATTATGCCAACCGCCCTAGATAGATTTCGATCCCAGTTTGCACATGCCCAAATTAACTCCATCTCCAACACTACGCCCTCATCCGCACAGCTGATTCCCCGATAAGAACTCTACGACCGTACAAGTGACGATTTTCATGCTTTTTCGTCCTGCAGCTTCGTTTTTCACTGAAAGGCGGGCCTTGAAGGCGGAGTCTGGAGGCGGAGTCACTGGAAAAAAGGAGGCGTCACTGAACCTATATTGCGCTATAGCGCCCCTCCCTTACAATTTTTTGCCGCAAAACCGTACAAGGTTGTTCGTCGCGGACCACACTACCCTCCCGGCACCATATTTTCAACTTCTGTACCTTATCGCGGACCGTGCCTTCAACTCAAAATGCGTCGAACAGGAGTTGAAGGTGAGCAGATGTAAACAGACATCATATCAACTCTCACATGTAGGTGGTAGAGTGTGAGTTTACCAAACAGAGACAGAAAAAGCAGAAATTTCGTTCAATGTATCCTTCCTGCCAGCTAAAATGCAATTC